CGAAGATTCGCCTGTGCTTATTATCCTTTCAGTAGTCTTAGCTGTTCAGTAAGTGCAGGTCTGATCGCAGCAGTAAGAAGAACTTCCGCTGTTGACATGGAACCGCCCTATAATTTTGCAGCATGCCTGACTGCATTAGAGTTTGTTATTCGACCAAATGCCACCCATAACAGGGTCTAGATATCCAGATATTATAATTTACCCCAATTTTACTGGCGTTGGTAATTTGGCTTATTAAAAAAATCATTTGAGACATTTTTGAGAAACTTTGCGGGCTCCGTAACTCATGACAACAAAGCCTCCGAGTTTTCCCACAGAAAAGTAAAACGAATTACCTGTGATAGGTTAAATTCATCGACGTACTTATTGCTTGAATGGTAAACCGCAAAATGTCGACAAGAACCTTAACAAGTTTTCCTAGACGTTAAAAAATCAATGATTTACTGTCCAGTCCCCTCACTATCCGGGAAACTTATCGCGGGTGATGTTATCTGTCTTCGCAATACGGCAATCTTTAAAATTGGGCCTGTTATAGTTATAGCGTTCAATTTATTTGGTGCCTTTCCATTAAATCGTGTGTGGATGAATCTTACTTATCGTAGATAGTATACTTTAGGTCCATACAAGTTGTAGATTTAGTTTAATGCCTCCGGAAAAAATTGAATGGCAAACTTTATTTAAATTGCAGAGTTCCACCCTCTCGCCACACCTTTAACCCATGTCCAGATAAAACTGTGATTAGGCTTTAAGCATTTATAGTTCCGGCAGTTTTTAAGTCATTAGATTTCATCACTTTACTGAAAAAAAGAGCTCAACAAGGCTCAAGACGAAAACTAAGTGCAGCCAAATTAGGTGATTCACACAAAGCGCTCAGAACCGCTTGCTGGCCACTGTTAAAATGCCAAAACTATTTTGTGGAAAAATCTACATGTTATTCCAAATGTCGGCCAGACAATTTTCTGGCGATCCTGTTAAAGAAGAGGGACAGAATACATGTTACGTGGTTACTGTGGCTGTTCCAAAGCGCCTGGACCTTGGTTCGAAATTATTTTTTCTGTTTCGACAGATATTTTCCTACCAAATAGGGGCAGCTCCTGTTTTTTCTGAGGAGGAGTGATTGTTTCCGACCAAGAGAGTCTTGATGACAGTAGACCGTTGTCATCGCCCGGTCTACCGCCTTCGATAAACCCTACGCACTCATTTTTTTCCAGGTGAACCGGATGAATCCGCACGCTAGTACCACCAACCGAGAGAAAAGGAAGAAAAAGACCTTCCAGATGATCAAGCACAAAGTTCGCCGGAAGGCGAAGCGCAGTTTCCGTGAGAAGCAGACTGCCCTGCGGGACCACCTCAAAAAGCTTGCCAAGCAGATGCGGAAATAGTTATTTCTTCTATCTTTTTGTACAAATGTACCATTTCTGCTGTAAAAAATAGTGGTTTTAAAGTAAAGGGTGTGGAGAGAAAGGAGTGGGGAGTAAGTGGGAGGATGTGGAGAAAAATATTCTAACTGCGCGTGGCTCTTCAGTTGCTTGAATTGAGAAGTAAGAAAACGGCCACGGGTGCGCCTACGTTATAATGACACATGGACCACCTATTGAAATGGAGATTTGGATGTAGGGCAGAATGCACCTTCAGTCAGCATTTGCACCGGTGGTAGTTGTTGCTTTTCGGGATGCCTTCGTGTTTCAAATAGGTGGGCCCAGCGAGACGGCTGTCATATGCACTATCTTGATTCTGAAGGGGCGTTAGTAAGAAAAAGGCAGATTTTGATAAACGTCACACGTTTTCGGTTATGTTGACTGACTGTTGATTACAAAGACCAAACAGCGAAGAAGTAGACGACAATTTGATCCTAATTAAGATGTTGAAATTTAAGATACATCATAACTGGTTGGCCGCGTTATAACTTATTTTGTGCGTAAATGAGCTAAAATGTTTGCAGGAAGCCGGTTTCCGCCATAAATAGCAACTTTGCTTTTAAGTCGAAAAATCATATTCTGAAGCTCTGCGCGTTTGAATTCACTTTCAATTAGCCGAAACGGGAAGTTGGGAGTGCATGATAGCCGACGAAGCCACAAGCCCCCCTGTGGAGGATTAGCCGACTGCTTCGTCTGGTTCGTATCGGGGATTTCCATCGATTTGCAACTCATTTACTCATTTTAAATCATGCACAATGATAATTCGCAGGAAAATAGGGACAAGGATTGATTTTATCCTTTCAAACGCCAGGAATTGTACTCGCCTCACAACCTAGTTTGACTAATAAAATAAGACCGGGAAGAGTTCCTCGTATGGCCGCCAATGGCGGGAGTCCTCACGCCAAGTTTCCTACGGGATTAGTCGTTAAAGAGGAATGAATGGGTGGGGAATATCAGGGGCCGTATAGATACGTGATAACTGCGCAATAAGAAAGAAATTAAGGCAGATAGTACTTGTTTTACCGAACTAAGAATGTAGATGAAAATGACAAAAAAGACTGAACAGTAAGCCTATACACAAAGAAAACTGTTGGAACAATTCCTGTCGCTTAACATAATGAAGGAAATGTTTGGATAGGCCGAAATTCGACCTACTGAAAAAGTGGAAGTAGTTTTTAAGTATCGAAGCCCCCCCTGTAGGCGACCATACAAGGAACTCTGGCCCTATGGCCTACCGAAGGTGCAGTTATCGAGAACGTGAAGATTCCCAAAACGGAGGTCAGCAAAGACAAAGCTATTGGACCAGCTGTCCTGAGTTCAAACAGCGTACTGGCAACCCAGCATGCCATATCCTCCGACGAGCATTCGCCGTTGGGGTTGTTGAGCCCGGCGCGCATCGTGTATGTGTTTCGTCTGCTT